GAGAGAGGCTTCTGTCATGGTGGCCAGGAAGCAGAGAGAGAATGCCTGCTTTCTCCTTTCCTGCCATTTATTCCATCTGCATCTCAGCTATTCCCCGCCCCACGCACATTCAGACCCACTCTTCCTCTCTCCATTAATCCTCTCTGGAAACTGATGGATTAGTTCAGAGATGTGCTTAATTAACCTCCTAGCCGCTTCTCAGTCCAATCAAGCTATTAACCATTACAGCCATTGAGGCCACACAATCACGAAGGAAATCAACCCCGCTAATGCTATAGCGAGATATGGCCCAAAGTGGTGCCACCGCCACCACTCCCACTCTTTACCAGGGAGTTCTAGCACCTGAGGCCCTGTGAGGCCTGTGAGTGCCCCAGGGAGCTGCTACCACACTTGAAATCCACGTGGAGGTGACACCTAGCGATCACCCCAGTCCAGGAAAGGAAGCGGAGCAGCTGAGCCTGCCTACACGGTAGAGCCAGCCTGGAGAGGCGTCTGCCTGAAGATGCTGCAAGAAGAGCGAGAGGCTCAGGACTCGGCAAGCTCTTATAGCCAGGCACACAGGTACTCTACAGCTCCCTGCCTTCTTTGAAACTCCCTCATGGTCATGAGATTGGAATCTAGCCAGTGGGATATGAGGAGATGCAGGATTTCCAGGTCCAACTCACCATCGCCCTTTGAGATTTTCCCTCCTACTTTGGGAGCCAGGGAACGAAGATGGTGGAGTCACAGAATAGAAAGAGGCTGGATGCCAGCCACTGCCTAGAAGACAGCTGCTTGCCAGTTAAGAAAACCTGAACTTTATGTGAGCAAGAAATAAATACCTCTCATGTTTGAGCCGACCATATTTTTAGGTTTCTTTGTCATAGCAGGTGGTTACATCTTAACTGAGGCTGGGAGTACATAGGGCGTGGAGGACTCCAACCCTGAGAGGCCTTGAGTAAGGGCAAAGGAGGGCACAGAGCAAAGTCAGAAGCCCAAGAAGGGAAACTCTTTCTTCTTAATAGCTTTTATTTATTCTTTGACAATTTCATACAGTAATGAATGTATCCTGACCACACCTACCGTCAATGCCCCATTACCCCAACATGTCCCCTCCCATCTTCATGTACTCTCTCTCTCTTTAAATAAAAAAAAAATTAAAAGTTTGTAACCCACTGAGTCCGGTTAGTGCTACCTGCTGGAACGTCCTGGGTGCCAGTCCTGACTTATCCATTTACAACTTCTCTTCTTGCACTCTTGATTTGCTGTTGCTTCCCCCATTTCTTGCCTAGAGGAAGGCCTCCTACACCTCTCTGAAGAAGAGGCACCTTCCAGAAATGCCAGCCCCAGGGAGGGAGCAGAAACGGGTTCAAACGCTAGCTGACTGGAGGCAGCCGCTTTCATATTTGTAACAATAAATGTTAAGCAAATCAGCCACCTTTCAGGGCTGCTTCTCGGGGGACGTGAGGAGGGGGACTTGCCATCAAGGCCAGGAGCCTTGGCTGAGACTCCATCGGTGTGTATCAAGGGAGAGTTAAAAGCCAGCAAACACTGATCCAAAGGGAAATGGAGCCAAGCAAACTACAAAGTCATTTGTGACCTTGAGAAAAATGGAAGTTAGAACCGAGCCAGCCTCCAGGGGAACCGAGGGGAACAGGAGTTTATTTGCACTGTGCCTGCAAGTCTGCACACTCTAGTGACATGACATTTAAAGGTACAGTGTTCACCAGGCTGGGGTCTTCGAGGCAGCACAGGGCTTCTCTCTTCCCTTCTGGCGACACACCACTAGGGTATAATAACGACATTCTGGCCTAGTCTAGCCTTTCCTGAATGAACACTTCCAGAGTTTCAGCTCTGGAGTTTAGTCAGCTCTGAGTCAATGCAAACCACGAGTTCTCTTTACAGAAATGTTCTGACTTTGCATCCCCTGCAGATGCTTTGTATGCAAACCATGGTACTTCTATATTGATGAACACATTTTAATATTTCTTCTTTGTTTTATTAATAATTCCCTTGTATTTGTCTTCTAGCTTACTAATTTTATTTTCAGCCAAGTCTGATTTTTTTACTTGACCTTTTTTTTCTCATGTCTAGCTTACTAATTTTATTTTCAGCCAAGTCTGATTTTTTTACTTTAACTTTTTTTTCTTTATTTATTTATTTATTTATTTATTTATTTATGAGACAGGGTTTCTCTGTGTAGCTTTGGAGCCTATCCTGGCACTTGCTGTGGAGACCA